ACTGCTCTCTATTAATCACCACAGAGATCCTTCCCTTCCCTCCATTAGAATGTCTGACGCTCAACTTCTCGAGAGCAACTCTCTGCGGCTTCTCGGTCTCACGTTGACTGCTGACCTGAGATGGAATAAATACATTGAGTCAATTGCCTCGTCCACTGCAAGGAAAGTTGGCTCCCTGAGCCGTGCTAGGAAGATTTTTTCTCCCCTGAGTCGATCCTCCAGATATACAAATCAACAATTCGCCCTTGCATGGAGTATTGCTGCCATATATGGTCTGGCGCCCCTTCTGTTTGCCTCGGGGTTCTTGATAGGCTCCAGAGGCGGATATGCAATATGGTTGGCCCTGCCCTGGCGTCTCGTCTACAGTCACTTTCTCACAGACGCGCCGTCGCCTCCCTCTGTCTGTTCTACAAATACTTTCATGGAAATTGCTCCGAGGAACTGCATTCGCTGGTTCCCAAACTTCATGAGTTCAAGCGCCCTACGAGGCTGGCATCCCGCTCTCACCCCTTCACTGTCGAAACTCATAAATGTAGCCGTCTCTACTACTCTAATAGCTTCATGTCTCGCACCTCTCGCCTGTGGAACTCTCTTCCCTTCTCCTGTTTCCCTGAGAGTTATAATCTCCAGCTATTCAAGTGTAATGTCAATCGACATCTCCAGTTGCCTTAATCTATCTACTACCCTCATCCTTTCTTCTATCACTCCTATCTGATCTTCCTATTTTCTGTAACCCCTTGCGTCCTAGTGGCTCCCCGCCTTGCTTGGGGTGAAATGCTTAAAAAAAAAAAAAAAAAAAAAAAAACAATATTCATTAAAATACAATTCAGTTCAATTTGACAAAGACGATGGACATAAACAACAAGTCTTATCCAAAACAGATAACTGAAAATTTTTAAATGATCAGCTTTCCGTTTAGCATGGTCACGTTGTCGTCACATGGGCGACGCTTTCAAATATGACCATGCTGAAAATGAATGATCATTTAAAAATTTTCAGTTATCTGTTTTGGATAAGACTTGTTTTTTATGTCCATCGTCTTTGTCAAATTGAACTGAATTGTATTTTAATGAATATTGTCTTGAAAAAGGTTTATTAAACCGAAACGTCAGACGTCGACATTTCATTCATTTTAAACAACATAATTGCATTTAAGGATTTTTGTTTTTTTTTCCAAATTTTTCTTCATTCTGTCGGATCTATATCCATTTACATTTGCTTATATATATATATATATATATATATATATATATATATATATATATATATATATAAATATTATTTTTTATAATTTTGTTTATGTCTTAAAGTAAATAATTTTACAATCATGCATATATTTGTGTTATGGGACCTTACCCATAATAACATAATGGACTATTCCATACGTAATAAATACTGCGCCTCAAGAGGAAGCAGAGGAGTTCAGTCAGAAGTCGGGCGACCGGCTTTGGCTGATCGGTTGAACTCTCTGCCTTCGGGTGGGGAGGAACCCGAACGAGGCTACGCCGAAGGGCGGAGTCTATTTTCTTTTAAAACCGACCCTGAACCCGTTTATACGGGTTCAAAGGTTATATTTTTTTGCCGAGCCCACGGGCTCGGAGATTCCACGTTAAACCGGCCTTGTGCCACATGATGCCCTTTGTTGTGGGGGGTGACTAAATACCGTTCAATCTGGTCTGGGTGAGGTCCGTCAGGAGTCTGTCTGTCAGTCAGCCAAAGCGAGCAGAGTCAGTCAGTCGAGTCAAAAAGGCAGTCCGAAACAGAGTCGTCGTGTTCAGACAATTACTACTAAACCTGATTGTTCGTACTAACACTTTCTACTTCTCTGTATATATTCCTGTTTGTAATATATCTGTGTTATTTATTCCATATCTGTGTTCGAGTTCTTCTTTATTGGTTCTACCTTGGACTATCACCGTGGTACAAGGAACCGGACCATAACACAATATATATATACCCATATATATATCCATTTATATACTCAACAACTTATACAATAAAATTTTTATCCGCCAACTCCATCAATAAACATATCTTCGACACATACAAAACCAAATAATGGAGATGTAATGCTTAAAAGCAAAGAAAATGCCGAGCTAAAGTACATCCCCAACCATCAATAACAATAATTATAATAAATCTAAGAATAGAAAGCACAACATCACTTGGTTCAACCCACCCTTCATTTGTAACGTTAGGACAAATATAGTAGAACTTTTCTCAGATTAGTACGTAAGCATTTCAGTCATATGAAATTAAATGCGTAAATAAACTTAAAAAAGAACAACGTTAAAGTTAACTACAGATGCAAAAAATTTTCTAAACAATTTTAATCCCTACATAATAATGTAAATAACACATATTTTAAACAAAAAAAATCATTAGTATTTTGATTAGCATTTGATAAAAAAATGCAACTGTCGCAAAGCTGATGATCTCTGCGCCTATTTCCAAAATGCATGTTAAAGGAATTATATATATTTTTAGCTATTAAATTAAA